CCTCTGAGGGCCATCGCCCCGCCTCTGAGGGCCATCGCCCCGCCTCTGAGGGCACATTTCTGTTGTACATGCTGTATGCACTTGTATGCATCCGTGCATGTGTGGAGGCTGGAGGAGGCCGTCAGGTGGCCGTCACTCTGCCTTATTCCTGCACCAAGCCCTGGGGACGAACCGAAGACACTGTGTAGAAAGGGCTCAAAGGTGCCCCCTCCTGGTAGGCAGGCTCATAGCCACCAAAGCCTCTGCTTCCCTGGCACAAGGGTCAGTCAGCCCAGAAGTCAATCCCTTAGACACAATCCTGAACTCCTCCAGCTTTATTTTGCAGTTGAAAACTTAAGAAAAAAGTCTATTTCTCAAGAGAAACAAACAACAAGAAACCCTGCTGTCCAGTGGCCCAGGCCCTACATATTCATGTCACATGTCCCTCGAAAAGGAGCCTTCTCCCCAGGCTGGAAGCATCCTGTGTGTGCACCCTAGAGAAGGAAGCTCCCTAACGAGTCTGGAGGCCATGGCTCCCCTCCAGGAAGTTCAGACCTTCTGAGAACCCCTGTGGCGGGGGAGCCTGGGCCAGCCAGCCTTGCATCCTCCCGGTCACTGCCACCCCAAGGCTCAGGTTGAAGAAACAGCTTCTGGGTGTTTCTCGATGTGGGTGCCGGAGGTGTGTACCTCGGCCTGGCCGCCGTGCAGTGAAGTTGCGGAATGGATGCCCCGGGCCAGCTGGGAGTCACTGCAGACACTGGGGATGAGGCTGTTTCTCTCGGGTTCCTGGCCGTCTGCACTGGTGGTCCTCTCCCAGCCAAGGACCTCGCCCAGGAACTAGGATTGGCCTCGAAGGCGAAGAGCTTGACATCTTTGGCAGCCTGTGTTGACTTGGAAAAGCTCTCAAACTATAAGAAAAGAGAAGTGAGGCTGTGTTGTGAAGCAGAGAAGGAAGGCCCCACCATTTCCTGGGAGTGGGCCGGGGGTCTCTCTGGTAGCCCCTGGCCCTGATTGAAAGTCACCTGCCCATCACCACTTCCCTCTTTGTAAGCAAAGCAGGCATGGGCTGTGGTTCCCACATACTGTAGGACAGTGTGTGGGTCCCAAGAACTCAGCCTTCCACAGAGGCTCCAGAACTAAGCAAGGGTCTGCCAAGGGCTCCTTGGCAATGGGGAGGACCATGATATAGAACCCCACCAAAGGAAGGGCTGAGGGTCAGCACCTGAGGCTCTGGGAGCAGGGAATGGGCCTGAGCCGGTGCAGGGGAGAGTACACCTGAGTCTGTGCAGGGGGAGAGTACACCTGAGCCGGTGCAGGGGGAGAGTACACCTGAGCCTGTGCAGGGGAGAGTACACCTGAGCCGGTGCAGGGGAGAGTACACCTGAGTCTGTGCAGGGGGAGAGAACACCTGAGTCTGTGCAGGGGGAGAGTACACCTGAGTCTGTGCAGGGGGAGAGTACACCTGAGTCTGTGCAGGGGGAGAGTACACCTGAGCCAGTGCAGGGGAGAGTACACCTGAGCCTGTGCAGGGGGAGAGAACTTAAGTCATGCTGGAACTGAACACTGAGGGATCCAGGCTGTGAACGAGCTGCTGACATCTGAATGGTTCTGGAACACCTGAATGACTTCTCTCTGCTTTGAGGAGGAGCCAGCCCTAACTCAAGGATGTCAAGCTGCTCAAGTGTGGTCCCCATGGGCTCATGGGCACAGACCCAGGAAGACTCCACACAACCTCTGTACTTAGCTTCCACCAATAAATATGGATTCCTTTCTTGATTGAGTGAGTGAGACAGGGTCTCGTTAGCCCAGGCTCTCCTTAAACTGTGTAGCCAAGGGTGACCTGGGCTTCTGGTCTTTCGCTAGTGATCCCTCTCACGGGCTCTGTTTTTATTTTTAAATTACTGGTTCAAGTTCCTTAGTGGTTCTGTCTGTTTAGATTTTTGTATCATTTCAGATCCCGGTTATAAATAAAGTCTTCTCTTATTAGTCAGTATAACGAAGTTGGTCTGGTGTGGAGTTTACTCCTTTTCCACTTCATATCCCATCTTACTTCTGCTCAGGTCTGGATTTCCTTCTCCCAGCTATAGATTGGATCTTCTTTTTCTGATAACTGAAGGTATAAAATTTAGTTGTTGGCTTAAAGTCCTTTGTGTGTGTATATGTTGAGTGTGGAGGTCTGAGGTCAACCTCAGGTATCCTCCTCAGGTGCCACATACCTCTTCTCCCCTCCCTCCCTTCCTCCCTCCCTCCCTCCCTCCCTTCCTCCCTCCCTCCCTCCCTCTCTCCCTCCCTCTCTCTTCTTTCTTTCTTCTTTAATGAAGGGTCTATTACCGAGCTCACTGATTAGCTGAGGCTGGCTGGCCAGCCAGGGAGCCCCAGGGGCCCGCCTGTCTACTTCCCCGCTGCTGAGACCACAAGCCTGGGCTCCCATGCCTGCCTTTGGCTTGGTTTAGGTTGGTTCTGGGGATCGGTCCTCTTGCTGGTGTGGTGAGTGTTTTGCCCATGAACCTCCTCTAGTCATGTGTCTTTGCCCCTTGTGCCTCAGATTTTCCTGCAGATGTTCCCAGGTCAGCTGCTCAACTCTTCTATGGAATCTTTCCATCCAGATATTGTGGTTTTTAGTTCTAGACATTAGTTTTTTCATTTTCCTGGTTGTGTATAGATGTTTAACAGTGATGCCCAGCTATTGTGTATACAAGGACAGCACTGAAGAGTCCTTGTAAGACATTTAGAGGCTTTGTTCTCGAAGGTGGGTTTCTGGGGCTGTCATGTTCACACCTTTGGGCACACACCGTCCTTTCGTGAATACTGTGTGTTTGCAGAGTCTTTGCACATGTCCTAAGCATAAGGAAGGACTTTCATGGCTCATCTTGGGCCCTGCAGATCTCCCTCTAATTCTCTGTGTTCTCAGCTGTGGGAAGCTGGCGGTGCTCTGGTCCGCTGCCCTCGCCACCTACCGTTCTGCAGCGGTCCTCACCACTGCCTCCAGGCAGACACCAAAACTGCACCAGCGTTCAGAGCAGAGTCAGATGAGACGGAAAATGGTCCCCAGAGCAGTCCAGGTGAGGGGAACCACGATGCAAACCAGCTCTCCTGGGGGAAGCTGGGCAGCCACCCTGAAGTCTGCACAAGGTGGCGAGGGCGACCACAAGCAAAAACACCACCTGGGTATAGTGCATGCACGGAGGCCAGAGGACAGCTGCCAGACGGCTCCTCGGGCACTGCCCATCTTTTGGTGGGGACAGGGTCTTGCTACAGCCGGACCGAGTCCTCTGTCCCCTTTGTTCTGCAGCTGTGCGCTGACAGTTCTTGCTATAAACCTAGTAAGAGTATTTAGGACGTCATACGCTTCCTGGCAAGGGCTCTATCTGGCCCAAGCTCGCTCTCAGTTTCTCACTCTGTTGCACACACCCCAGGTCACATTTTCCATCGCACTGACTTTCTCTTTTGGTTTACATTTTTTTTTTTTTTGTTTTTTTTTGAGACAGGGTTTCTCTGTGTAGCTTTGCGCCTTTCCTGGAACTCACTTGGTAGCCCAGGCTGGCCTCGAACTCACAAAGATCCGCCTGGCTCTGCCTCCCGAGTGCTGGGGTTAAAGGCGTGCGCCACCACCGCCCGGCTTGGTTTACATTTTAACCTGAGCTTCACATACCTGACTCTTACATTACTTCTAGAAATTTCTTTTGACATGCTATTCATCTTTGAATGTCTTCTTTCATGCCTTTAAGAATCCCAGGCTTCCAGGCAGTGGTGGCATACGCCTTTAATCCCAGCACTCAGGAGGCAGAGGCAGGTGAATCTCTGAGTTCAAGGCTAGCCTGGTCTACAGAGTGAGTTCCAGGACAGCCATGGTTACACAGAGAAACCCTGTCTTGAGAAATAAAACAAAACAGACTCCCAGGAGTTCAGGAGTTCAGGTCTCAGGCATATCCCCTGTCGTTCACCACAGCTATGACTTCTAGGTTGGATCAAGAAACAAATGTGCTGTCAGCTGCCACTCTGTGTCAGGGTCACAGGCACAGGTGTGTCACCTCAGAGTGCCAGCACAGGTTCTGAGTGTACAAGGCTCAGAGGGTCCTTAGGGCACCTGAGACACTTGGCTTGGTGGCAATAGTCTCTGGGCCTCTGCATCTCTGGTTTCCTGTGTGTGCTCCTGGGGGAGGGGGGGGTCAGAGGTTAATCTCAGGTGTTACCCGTTAGCCCTCAGACAATATTCACTTTTTCCCAGACAGGATCTCTCAATGGCCCAGAGCTAGCCTAGTTAGACGTAGGCAGGCCTAGGCTGGCTGGCCAGTGAACACGCGGACCCCCGTCTCTGCCCCCCAGCACCTAGTGTGACAAGCACATCCTCACACCCAGCTTTCCCTCCTGGTTCTGGGGATCCAGCTCATGCTTACAGGACAAGCACTTTGGCAGCCAAGCTGCGTCTCCCAGCTGCTTTTGTCGGCTTTCTTTTCTTTCTAAGAAACTGTATTAATATTTATGTGGCATGTATGAGTGTTTGCCTTCGTGTCTGTCTGTACACCATGTGTGTACCCGGTGCCTGTGAAGGTCAGGGCATCACTTCCCTGGGACCGGACTCACAGCCAGCTGTGAGCCATTATGTGGGTGCTGGGAATTGAACCCAGGTCCTCTGCAAGAGCAGCCAATGATCTTATCCACTGAGCCATCTCTCCATCTCTGTCTTAAGATGGAGTCTTGCTATGTAGCCCAGGCCGCTCTCACACTGGCATGCCTCCTTCCCTGCAAGCAGGCCAGCTCTTTCCTCCTGAGAACTGCTCTGCACACAGCTTTGTTAGCTCTGTGCTCCCTGCAGAACTGAGCATTGCCATCCCCGTAGGAGCTCAGAGAATGGCACTGGTTTTCCATTTGGGATGGGACCCAGATGAGAACTTACCACCACACTGCAGAGGAAGGGCCAAGGGCACAGAGTCCTGGGCACACAGGTAGATATAGGCAGCCGCTAGGTGGCAGGCAGCTTGCAGCTCCATGGGGTCACAGGTGTCCTGGACACACAGTCTGAGGAATGGGGCAGGGTCCACCTGAAACAAATGCCTGTCCATCACCGGGCCTGCCCAGGGCCTGCCCATCACTGAGCCTGCCCATCACCGGCCCTGCCCATCACCAGGCCTGCCTATCACCGGGCCTGCCCATCACTGGGCCTGCCCACTGCACAGGCTAGATCAGGCTTCTTTCACCCTGTGGTTTGTCTGCTGAGTGGGCTCTGGCCAGGTGCTGCCTCACACTCACCACCTGGAAGCAGTTCCCCAGACTGGAGCGGGGCTCCTGGAAGAAGGCCTGGCAGATGGTGCTGTGTCCTGAACATGGCTGCTGCATCCTCTTTACAGCATCACAGTCCTCACCCACCTGGATGGGAACACACAAGACTCGAGCCTCCGTGAACACCACTTTCTCCTGGGCACACTGCCTGAGATGCCTGTATCCTTGAGTGGAGTGTGGGTGTTCCTGCTTCATCCCAGACCTGTTCAGCTGTCCTCCCCCGAGCCCAGAGGTAGGCGTGGCAGGAAGGGTTTTCCCGAAGCTTACCTGCCAGGCCTGGGTGAGCTCCTCCAGGCTGGCAGCTTCCGTGCCATCTGGCAGCATTAGCTCATCATCTGCCTCATTGTTGTTGGTACCCAGAAGGCCAGCCGATATACCTGTAGGGCAGGAGGGGCCCGCTGAGAAAGCCTCCCTCTCCCCTCCCCAGGGCACAGGAGCTTTCAGAAGTGGGGAGGGAAAAGAGGGTCTAAAGAGGGTCTCTGTGCCTTGTGGCGCTTCCCCCACTGTCCCAGCCCACAGGGCCAGTTAGCAAGCTTTATGGGCACCTCTTGGGGGTCTAGCTGCATGATAGGGACCTCATGAGAGCCGACTTCATTCTATATGGACTGTCCCCAGGGAAGAGAGCCAAGCTGAGTCAGAAGCCCTGGGCCAGATGCTGGCCCTGGGAGCAGGAGTGAGTCACTCAGCCTTTGCTGGGTCATCTGTAACAGAACAGGAACCACCAGGACTGAGAAGTAGACAGCTGTGTCACACTAGAAAGGAGGCCAGCAGTCACTGCCACCCCAGGGAAGTGGCCTGTCAGCAAAGGCAACCTTTGGGATTATTTCCAGCTCTTGCCCATTGGTCTATGCTCTTCTTTCCCACCAGGGACACTAACAACAATGTTACTGAGAAAGGGGCACGTCACCCTCAGCCCTGGACTCTGGCTATGGAGTAGCTAGAAAAGGCCCTTGTGGGCAGCACCCAGCCCTGACCCACCGTGGTGCCACAGGCCCAGTGTCAGGCCGCAGAGGCCTGCTGGCACGTCACAGGAGACAGACACACCATCCTCGCTGCTCAGCTCAACCTTGGGCCCAGTGTTCAGCGTAGCAGGAGGCGGGTCTAAATCCCAGCAGCCGTCCCAAGGCCCGGCAGCGTCGTACAGCTTGTAAGCCTGTGGACCACATGGGGAAGCCAGGAATCGTTCCCAGCACCACACCGTTAGACGACATGCAGACAGAGGCTCCGGGAAGCCCCGCCCACTTCCGTGCACGCACCTTTAGGCTCGGATACAGCACCAGGGCCGTGTGGTTCAGCTCCACGTGAAGGACCGCGAACCCCGAGCTTGTGCGGCTCAGCATCAGAGAGAACGTTTGGTGAGTGAAGTCCTTGGAGAGCAGGAAGCTGCCACAGCAGGGACCCAGGCCCCACACCTGTCCATCGAAAGTCACCAGGTACCTGGCACCGGCCACCACCGCGTAATCTGAGAAGAGGCCAGTCCAGCTCAACACGGAGCAGACCTGCTGCCCTGGAACTAGTGTGCTCCAAGTCTGGGGACTCTCCTAGGACCCTGAGTTCAGGAGCGCTCTCACACAGGAAACCGCTCCACACCAGCCTGGTGCTGTGCTCCGCTGTAGACGGCTCGGGCTCAGATGGTGTGTCATAGCCCACACGAGCCAGCCACGGCATCCTATTCCCCCCAGGAGGAAGCTGAGGCTAAAGAAGCTATACAGCAGTGTGAGCCAGATGCAGGTTTCCCAGGGCCTCCCAAAGGCACAGTGAGGCCTCAGGCTACAGACGCCGCCTCCCCAGCAAGCCTGCACTCAATTAGTGGCCTTCAACTATAACTGGGGCTCAGCCCTATTCCTCCATCAAAGCCCTCTGGGAGAAAGCTGGCCTCAGAAGGAGCCCTCAGCTGCTGCATACTCCCTGTTATAGTTTGGACAAAATCCAGAGTCTGTAGCCCCAGATGACCTCACCAAGCCCAGGAACTTGTGGGGCTAGCCTGTGACGTCAGGGCTTTGGCAGGCTTTCCTGTGGGGGCTTGTCACCAAGCCCTAAAGGACTTTGCTCCACAGGCAGAGGGGTTCCCAGGGAAAACAGGAGGTGGACAGGCCAGGCAGGACTTACGCTTGAAGGAGCTCCCCAGTAGACGCCGCCGAAACCCATAGAACCCAGCCAGCACGTTGGCCTCATACAGCTTGCGGACTGGCCACAGCAGTTTCTCCTCCACCAGGTAACTGACCACCTGGGCCGCATCCAGGGGCTGGTCCCCCGGCAGGAGTGGTAGCCTTACCATCAGGGAGCGGTTCCTAGAAGGGACACAGAGGAGCTGGGTCCCCTATGAAGTTGGGATGTCTCACTGAGCCTCACCTCCTTTTCCTGAAGGATGGTGATGTCACAGGAAGGAAAGGTTTCACATTAGCAGGCTGTTCCCTTAGAGAGGGCCTGCCTCTGTCTGGGGAAGCGTCTTCAAAATATGCACCAAGGTCCTGCAGTAAGGACACAGCGGTCTGATTTTGTGCCCTGCTCCAGGGGGCAGTAGGGTGATGGGATGGGCGTGGACCCAAGGAAGGGGGACCTCCATCAGGGTGCTGTGTCATAAGTATACAGGCACAGTAAGATGATGCTGAGTGGGCCAGATCAGGATCCCAGCCAAGGGGAAGCTGGGGGAGGGGAAAGTGGCCTCTGAGACTTCTACAGGTAAGGTAAAGACTCTAGAACTTTCTCAGGCTGTGAATCAGAAGCCCAGCAGACCTGGGGTTTGAAGGAGCAAGGAGGCAGCTGATGCCAGGCTACAGTAGGAAGGGGCTGGGCACTGGGCGCGGCCACCACAGAGCTACAGGAACTCCACTGTCAGAGACCCCAGCCCGTCCTGTGTGCTGAAGCAATCCTTCCTACACAAACCCCGCCAGGGTCGCAGCTGTCTCTCCATCATTTCCTAGGAGGTATGCCCGAAGTTCAGGGGGGAAAATTGAGGCAGAATAGGAGTCCTACCAAGTAGGTCCAAGCTTTCCACACCCAGGAGGCACCATTTTGCCACCTGCTGGGGTAAGAGGGAACTGCAGGCATCCTTGGAGGCCCCCTCCTGTGAGGCCTGTGAGACCACCCGTGAGACAGACCCCTTCTTCATCACGAACCCCATCTCACCCAGCAGCCCCTAAGATGCCAGCACACTGCCTCAGCCCTCAGAACCGTACGAGGATAATTCCTTTGGTTCAAGCCACCACAGTCTGGTTCCGCAGCGTTGGTCACACATGTGCAGAAGGCCGCCTTGTCACTTGTCTAGAAAGGGACCTCCGTCCTTCTAGCTGTTCAGGCCACATACTTTGGAATCACCTCTCCCTCTTTTTACGGCCTACATCCAGTTGAGTCTCGGTTCTCCAGGCTGACCTTAAAAACACAGCTGGATTCTGGCTGCCTCTCAGCCTTCCATATTGCCGTTGTTCTAGCAATCATATACCCAGCCACATTGTTCAAAATGTCCATCTCCTACACTCTGTCCATCTCCATAATCTATCCTCAACATGACCTACTTTTCCTTGGGCCAAACCCCTTGTGTGGTGTGTGTGCCCATCTCCAAGCAGGAGCCAAGGCCCTGGGCCACCTGGAGTCTGCTCGAGTCTTGCTGACTTCCTTACTGTTCTTCAGACAGGTGCCACGGTGCTACAACCCTACATGATTAGTGTGCCTTACCCAGAATTCCCTGCTCAAAGCCCACCTTCTGGACTTGGGCAATGGCTCAGTGGTTAAGGCACTTGCCACAAAAACGTAAAGACTGGAGGTCAGAACCCCACATGAATGCGGGCTGAGCATGATAGCATTTGTAATTCCATTCGCAGAAGGCAGAGACAGGCGATCCCCAAGCAACCTGGCTATCAAGGCTAGTCATATCAGTGAGCTCTGGGTTTGATTGAAAGAGCCTGCCTCCACGAGTAAGATGGAAAACAATGAAGGCTATTCTCTGTCAACTTGAAGCCTTCACACACATGTGCACACATACATAGGAAGTGTATACCATGCACATGAGAAACGGGGATCCCTTTCTCAGCCAAACTGCACCATTACGCATGCCCCTCCTCTTCAACCCACTGACCACTGCTTTCGGTAGTGCATGCCCCCTAACACATAGGTCAGGGACTGGGACCCTGCCCCAAAGACCATATCCAGGCTGCGGCCAAGAATGGCTTTCCCATAGCTAAGGCTTTAGAATGTGAACAGAGCTTGAGCCTCAGTTTCCCCTGTCAAATGAGGACCGCCTGTATGGCAGTGTCATCCTAAGAGTGAGGCGGACCAGGTTCCGGCATTTGATGTGTCCCATCATGTGGCAGGACCACAGGACCCACAAGTGCCGTCCCCACTTACCTGGCTGAGTAACTGTATATGCCCCATAAGGGTTTGCAGAGCCTCCTCAAGGCCCAGGAGACCTCAGCCTCAGCCCAGGACAGTGCACGGTGGGTGGCCTAGGGAGGGGCAGGCACAGCTGTCAGAACCACCCTCAGTGAGCCCAGCTCCACCCCACCCTATCACACACATCCTCACCAGCTCCAGGGCACCCATCATGGCTGCCAGGGCCACCTGGATGGGCCTTAGCCTCCAACTTTCTGGCAGCCTGAGCAGCCCGGCCTGCAGCCACTGCCTGGCTTCCTCAGCCCGCTCTCGCCACACCTCATCCAGGGGCCGCAGCGTCACCTCCAAGTAGGCCTCCTTCAGCGTGGCCAGGGGCTCTGCAACAGGTCATCACCTTGAGGCCCCAGAGCTCCTGGCTGCAGATGAGAACCTCTACAGTGCAAGCCAGGAAAGCTAGCCTTGCCTCACCCCAGGCCTAGAGGACATGGGGCCTGTGCCCTGGAGTGAGGGTCAGGTGCAGAGTGCACAAGACTGCTGACCTGGCTGCCTGGAACTGGTGGGAAGGGCCTGCTCCCCCATTGTTCTAACCTGCCTCCCAGAAAGCTGTGTGGCAACTCTGGTAGAAGCCCTGTGGATCCACACGGGGCTTCCCCTGGAAAATGCTTCCTACAGGCATCACAGTTCGACCCAGGGGGAGTTAGTGGCATCCGGTACACCATGGTGGAGCTCTGGGTGCTGCATGTAGTGTTTCCGGACTTCAGTCCAGCACCTTTCCCCATCACCAACTCTGCTCTGCACCATGTTGCCGTGATCAAAGCCATGAGGATACCTGTGTGCTCCTGGCCAGTCACTGGCTTGGGGACTCTGGCATAGCCATTCTGAGCTAGGGGCAGAGACATGTCTCCACTGCTTGCTTTAGTCCTGGACAGGGGTCTCAGGCCGAAAGGACCAGGATGGTCCTTAATTGTGGGGAGGCCAGGTTCTCAGCTTGCTTGGCCCCAGTGGCCCTGGAAGCCTCACAGCAAGGCTGTGTGCATGAGAGAAGCCAGGCAGAGGATGGATGAAGCCTGGGCAGCAGACCTAAGCGGGCATTGCTTTGGAGCCTTCAAGGATGGAGAAAGCATGTCAAAAGGGCGCAGAGGTTGCAGGGGCCTGAGAAATAAGGTATGGGGGTCTAAAGAAATTAGACTGCTTTTCTGACGGAGGTAGTGGTGTGAGGACAAGTCTGAAGACCTGGGGTCCTTGGGGCTGGGGCTGGGGGGCAGGGTTGTATGCTCTCCTGTACTCACGTTCCAGCTCCTTCTGCAACTGCTCCATCTCTGCCTGCAGCTGTTCCAGGTAGAGAGGCAGGTGACTGGTCAGCTTGAGCCTGGCCTGGCCTCGGCCCCACAAGGTGGTCACCACCTGGGCACCTGCCTGAACTGCACCCAGCCCTACCTGGGTCAATTGCACCAGGCAATCTGCTGCTCTGGCCAGGGTGCCCACCGGCTGTACCTAGGCAGGGAAACCAAGGCAAGATCAATGGGAAAACTGCAGACAGCATTCGCCAGCCTATCGTGCCTGGGCTGGAGAGCTGGGGACAGGACAGGACAGAGGACCCCCTACATACTTCCTTAAAAGGACTACCCACCAGGTTCTGGAACCCTCTCCCATAGGCATCCAGGCTTTGGATCTTCTCTTCCAGCTGGGCTCGCATCCGGGAGCCAATTGCTGTCATGGTGGCCTGTGGGGCGGAGGGACAGGTGAGGACTGGAGAAAAGGCCCTCTAGGGACCAGAGAGGGTGTAACTGCCCTCAGCTGTCCACTCGGATTTTCCAGGCACTCTTACCCCCACGTGGCTCAGCAGGGCCCCCTCACAGCCATGTGCGACTAGGACGAGGCTCTGGTTGGCCGCCTGCAGGGTCAGGCGGCCCAGTGGCTGGGCACGCTGCCCACTGTTGTGGAGCAGGGTCTCCACCTTCACGGCTCTCCTGTGGGCGCATGCCTGTAGCGTCACACTTTCTTCTCTGCTCCCTGAGCCAGGAAGGGACTGAGGTTACATCCATGCCTTCCCTACTTGTCTCCCCAGTGCCCTACACAAAACCTCAAGATCACCTAAGTGACCCCTTCTCCTGGTATACGCAAAGCCTCCACTTCACACCCACCTCTGGGTAGACCAGCCAGATCCACCCCACAACCACCCCACCCCACAACCTCCCCACAGCCTCACTTAACTCGGCACAAGTCAGTCAGATGTGGACAGGAAGCTCACCCCAAATTTGAGGTTTTCTTATGCTTCTAAACTTTAATAGGGATTCCCTGTCCTCTCTCGGACAAAGGTGGCGCCTGGCTTAGCTGACCTGGGGACCTTCCACTTACCTTCTACGTGGGTGACAGAAGCCTGAAGACAGCTCAGGGCCCGGGATACCAACAGCCTTAGTTTCTCATCCTTATCCACGCTGCCCTCCAGCTGGACCAAGCTGTGGGAAGCCGAGGTAGAGATGCGGCCCAGGAGGAGGAGCTGCTGAGCTCTGGGGCCTTGGAGCTACGAACCAAACAATAGAGACCTGAGTGGGCCTGACTGCTGGGGCTGCTCAGGTCCCTGGCCTCTCTGCCTGTCCCAGGCTCAGGGAAAGGGTAGGAGTGGATCAGTAGAGAAGGGACAGAAAGATGCCCACACTTCTTCCAGGAGCACTGAGTTCCCTGCTACACACCTGCTACATGGCTCAGAACCCCACCACATACAGTAGCGCATATATAGCAAAGCCCACCTTGTAGGTGTCTCCCCACCAACCCAGTCAAGGGGGCTCAGAACCCACGTCCTTGCACACTCTGGACAGATGCGATTGGTCTGGGGATCCCAAGCACTTCTCCGTTGGCAGTCTCAGTGTCCAAGGGGCACAAGGAAGCCTGCGTCATTGTGTTTACCCAAATCCCTGTAGGCACCATCCTTGAGGGAGGAGGTGCAGGACTAACGTTTGTCAAATGAACTGGGACAATGCTCCAAGGTCCCAGGGAAAGGGGCCATTGAAAATGACAGAGACCGGGAGAGAACCTCGGAGAGCCGGAGCCACAGCTGTTCTAGCCTAGCTGCTAGAGCCTGCAACTGAAAGCTGTGCAACCTCAAATAAGGGTATCACCATCTCTGAGCCTCAGCTTCTAGCTGTAAACTGACATGGATCAGAGGTTCTATTCCTCTAGAGAACCCTGACTCATACACCGTCCTTATCCATTTGAGAAGGATAGAATCTGTTTCTTGGCTATAGGAAGGGAAAGGCTGTGGGGTAGTGGAGGAGGCCCTCTGTGGGGCCTGGACAGACCCTGGGGTTCAGTAAATACTTCCTAGAAAGGAAGTCCTGGACCAGTAGGATGTTGGCCTGAAGTTCCACCAATGGCCACTAGATGGCGGGACAGCCCAGGCAGTGGGGCTGACGGCATGGAAAACTGGGAGGGCTTAGACTTCTACCTCCAGCTGCCCAGAGAAGTCCGGTGCATTAGGTCGGCTGTGGTTGTAGAGGGTGAGGCTAAAGTGCAGGCCCTGGTCAGGGTCTGGAGCAAGACCCAGCTGGTACTGAGAACGCAGCAGGAGTGCACCCTGGTCCAGACTGTGCTCCCCGGAGAACGAGAGGGCCTGAAGGAAGACAGCAGAGGTTCCAGAGGTCAGGAGACACGCTGGACCCTGGCCCAGGCTGTGGGGTGGCCAGCTCTACTGCCCCACCCACGACCTTCAGCAGCAAAGACCCCTAAACACTGACGCATGCCTGCACAGGTGCCGTGTGTGAGCGAAGCATGCCCACACAGGTGTGTGAGCGAAGCATGCCCGCACAGGTGCCGTGTGTGAGGGAAGCATGCCCGCACAGGTGTGTGAGTGAAGCATGCCCACACAGGTGTGTGAGCGAAGCATGCCCGCACAGGTGCCGTGTGTGAGGGAAGCATGCCCACACAGGTGTGTGAGCGAAGCATGCCCGCACAGGTGCCGTGTGAGAGGGAAGCATGCCTGCACAGGTGTGTGAGCGAAGCATGCCCGCACAGGTGTGTGAGCGAAGCATGCCCGCACAGGTGCCGTGTGAGAGGGAAGCATGCCCGCACAGGTGTGTGAGCGAAGCATGCCCGCACAGGTGTGTGAGGGAAGCATGCCTGCACAGGTGTGTGAGGGAAGCATGCCTGCACAGGTGTGTGAGTGAAGCATGCCCGCACAGGTGCCGTGTGAGAGGGAAGCATGCCTGCACAGGTGTGTGAGGGAAGCATGCCCGCACAGGTGTGTGAGGGAAGCATGCCTGCACAGGTGTGTGAGTGAAGCATGCCCGCACAGGTGTGTGAGGGAAGCATGCCCGCACAGGTGCCGTGTGTGAGCGAAGCATGCCTGCACAGGTGCCTGTGTGTTATCTCTGCACGCATGCCTGTGTGTGACCTCTGCAGGGCCAGCAGGTGCCCTAAGGCCACTTGTAAGCCTGTTCCCATCCTTCCCACCGTCCTCCAGGCCCTGAACATATGGCTTTGGTCTGTCCTGTTTCCTCCACTCTGCCTTACCTCACTCAGCAGAAACTGCTTTCATGACACAGCGGAGTGAGCAGGAAGACGCACTTATGAGACTTGATGGTCAAATACTTAAACCTTAAATACTCTGACTGCCCTTTGCAGAAGAGTCTGTGGCCCCTGGGAGGTAGGGGTGAGGTGGTGAGTAGGTGGGGGGAGGGTAGATAGATTGGAGGGTGGGTGAGTGGATGGGTGGTGGGTGGGTAGACAGATAGATGAGAGAGAAGGTGGGTGAGTGGATGGACAGATCTACAGGAGGGTGG